TGGGCCTGCCTTTGCCAAAAACTTATAAACACTTCTCCCAATCATTACTAATTGAATGTTTTTTAGATCATTCAAATCGGATACTCTGTTCTCTCAAAAATTCGATTTTTATTTTCTGCACTCTTTGCTCCGTATCTCCGAAACGGCTGGACCTGCCTTTGCCAAAAACTAATCAGCTCTTTTCCCTATCAATAGGAATCGAATGTTTTTTGAACCATTCAAATCGGTTGATCCGTGCGCCCTGAAACGTGACTGGAAATTTGTATCCATACATACATACACACACACACACACACACACACACACACACATCCATTTTTTCTGAGGTATGCCAAAACGTTTAGAAACCTTCAAAACGTCGAGAAATGTAAAATTTTCAATTCCGATTTTCGGCCCATTACAATAACTTACCCTACGGGAAGTTAAAAAGTTAAAAAATTCCAAATTATTTCTAAATATAATTCAAATAAGTCAATTTACTCAAAAATTTAATATTCACAAAATCAATCTTTTTTGAAAAATTGAATTTTTGGTACGGAAAGTTCCAGCAATTTGTCTTAAATGCCGTACACCAATAGGTGGTTTATTCGCTTCAAAAACAGTCGTATATGTGACCCTCCCACACTAGGAAATGACATAGCTGGCGGGTGTTGCTCAAGAGCTAAGGTAATTAGGGGCTAACACTACAGTTTTATACTTCAAAAATTTCATTAAACTTATACTATTTAAACAGAAACCAATAACTCTTATTTTTTTACTTATATTACACATTTGATGACGTTTAAAAGCTGCATATTATAAAAAATATGAATTTTTCAACTTTTCAAACGGTAATATCTCAGAAACGGTGATACTAACAAAAAAATTAATAATAACAATTTAATAGAGAATTTTATAATAAATAAACTTATCTAACATAATTTTTTAAAAAAAATTATGGTTTCGGCGGAAAATGGGAAAAACTAGATTTTTGCACCTTTGACCTTGAATAAAAAAAATCGCAGATGTCGGATCGTTGGGGACTTTTGACATTTCATTTGTAATGGCCTATTTAACATCTGTACCAAATTTCAGCTCTATGCGAATTGTTCCTAACTGAAAACTTAATTTGACTGGGCTATAATCATTGCTAGTCCTTACCAAATTACATACAATGACATTTGAAGTTATGAAATCAGTTCAATCGTTTTTGTGAAAACGTCAACAGAAGATCCAAAAAAACGCTAACATTACACACGCATAATTTTCGCACAAATGCTTTGTATGTATGGTTTCGAAGCGACAACCATGGTGAACTAAAATAATTTTCAATTCAAAAACCATTATTTTCATTCATCATTACTAGATCCAGTTTTAAATAACAAAAAAATAATACGTAAAGCTTTTTTCTTTTACTGACTATTACTTACTTATCGCTGATTTTTCGCTGTTGTATATGGATAGTGAATATTGCATGACTTCTACTGGATTGACTGTTCATTGCAGTTGCACCTACAGCTCTGCGACGATATCCTCTAACTAAACTTCTAAACAATCTAATGTATCATTTGCATTACGTACTTCAATTTCGGTTAATCCAGGAATTACAATTCTTTTTTGTTGATCTTCTCTGATATCAACTATACTTTGATCTCTATTTGATTTTGATAAAAGATCAAATAATTGTTCTTGATATAATTCCATAAATGATACCTGTAGAACATGAGAAAATACTTTACTGAAGAAATGACTTACTGTTATTATTATGTTTACAATTTCATAAACTATTATGATTTCTAAAAGCAAATTATATTAAATAGCAATCCATATACTCCTAAGGAGTGCAGAACAATTATATTCAACCAAACATATAGAAGTACAAACACAATGCAAAGATTTTGAAAATCTGACATGTTTAATTTCTGACCATTTATGGGTATTCAAATAAACTCTAATTACAGTGTAAAAAGGTTATGGCTTTTAAATTTTAATTCTCATTTAAACCTCATATGCTCCTTAACAATACACTTTAAATTTATTGCTTTAATATTTGGAAAGTAGTTTATATTGATCTAACTTGTAATTGAAAATTATATTGCTCCGTCAGAGTTGAAATTTTTTGAAAAATGTCTTTTACTGCTCTTGGTATAACACCCATCTCCTCGACTGGTCCAACTGAATAAGCCATGCCCATGGAATGAGTTTTTCCGGAGCCAGTCTGACCATAAGCTAATATTGTCACATTGTAGCCTAAAATATATTTTTAGATTGAACAAAATAATAAATAATAAAGTAAAGATACTGAAGATAAAAATAGAATTTGGGATTATAGATGAGAGATAAATTCACCTACACCAAAGTTATGTTATGTCAAAATTAAATTCTAGTAGAAATAAATTACCCTTAAACAATCCATCAACTAAACCCTTAACAGCAGTGTCATAAAATTCAGCTTGCGAAACTTCTGGTGGAAATACATGGTTGTAAGTAAAAGAAAGATTTTTTATTAAAACTTGAGGTTTATTTGGCACTGTTTCGAGGCATTTAACATATCCTTTAGAAATTTCGGATTTGACTAAAGGCCTTATCCTTAAAGCCACCTGTACACTAACAGCAGAATCAGCCATCTGAAATTTTTTCAAAAATCGTTTGAGCAGGTGTAGATCTTATATGAGATATTCTATTTTATTTATGAAGAAAATAATATAGTAAATAATATACTTCATCAATCCTACTTTAAAAAACGATAATAATTTTAGTAAAGTTTGACGAATTTTTAAAATTAAACTACTTGTCGTAATGCCGTAATATTACAGTAAGTTCTATAAGACCATGATTAAGACCAAAAAAAAGTTCCATGAAAATCGGCTTAAATTTTTTTTTTCAACAGTTCATTAGGCTCAGTAGATTTTCACCTAAAATTAATCAGTACCATTCCCATTTTTTTAAAATCGGTTCGGTAGGATGAGCTTAAATGTGGACGAAAATTTAACACTTTTTTTCAACAGTTAATTACAAGAAAACGGCTCGGTAGATTTTCACCTTAAATTAATCAGTACCATTCACAACTAATATTTTTCGAAAAGTTTTTGATTTTTTAAAATCGGTTCGGTAGGATGAGCTTAAATGAGGACGAAAATTTAACACTTTTTTTCAACAGTTAATTAGAAGAAAACGGCTCGGTAGATTTTCACCTAAAATTAATCAGTACCATTCCCAACTAATATCTTTCGAACAGTTTTTGATTTTTTAAAATCGGTTTGGTAGGATGAGTTTAAATATGGACGAAAAGTTTAACACTTTTTTTTAAATTGCAAAGAAACGGCTTGGCAGATCGTCGCACAAAACTGACAAACGATAGTCCTCACCGAAATACATCAAATGGCTTTTAAATTTCTGAAATCGGTTCAGGCGCTTTTGAGAAAACGTCGATCAAAAGTCTAATTTTGACAAATGTCAAAAAAACTATACCAATTTTTGCAAACTTTGACGAATTTTTAAAGCTAAACGAGTTGTCGTAGGGCCGTAATATTTTAGTATGACCTAGAAAACTATGGTATCTACTGTCAAAAAAAAAAATCATAAAAATCGTCGAATTTTTTTTTTTTAAACGTTATTACAAGAAAACGGCTCGGCCGATCTTTACCAAAAACTAATCAGCACGATTCCCAACCAATATCTATCGAATGGTTTTTGAATTTTCAGAATCGATTTAGAATTGCGGGCTAAAACGTGGGCGAAAATTTTTTCACTTTTCTGCAATTTACAACGAAACGGCCCGGCCGATCGCCGCACAAAACTCAGAGACGATAGTCCTCATCGAGATACATCGAATGGCTTTTAAATTTTTAAAATCGGTCCAGTCATTTTTGAGAAAACGTCGATTTACAACAAAAAATCTGTTCACATACACACACACACACACATACACACACACATACTTTTTCCAAATTTGGTCTCATTCGATTCAGAATGGCTTGAAACGTCGAGAAAACATAAAATTAGCGAATCGGATTTTTTGATGAAAACATAAACTTCTCCTTCGGGAAGTTAATAATATATTTTAATGAATATGCTTGCTATTTGTTATAAGAAGATTAGCTTACCTTAACCATAGCACTAAATTATATTATATATATATATATATATATATATATATATATATGTATATATATATATATATATATATATATATATATAGATATATAATAATTAAAGTTTTAGTTTACCTTGAAGTAGTCTTGTTAATTTGCTGTCACGATAACCTATGAAACCCGTACAGCCCTCGCCCAATCTTGATATGACATTACCCAGAGCTAACAATCCTTTATTAATTTTTACACTTTCTCGGAAGCGATTACCAGTTGCTTTTGTTTTATTTGCTCTTTCAGATCCTGCCAAGTCTACCAAATGTAACTTGCAACTTGTTAGACTATTTCTAGTAATAAAAAGGAAATATTTAGACATTTAAATGTGGAATAATCGACCTAGAGAGAAGCTGGTATCAAATTTTTTCAAACTTTGATGAATTTATTAAAATTAAACCTCTTGTCGCAGGACCATAATATTTTATTATGTTCTTTAAAACTATGATCGCAAACGTCGCACAAAACTAATACCCCAGTGAAATTAAAGCTAAAATAGCCATTTTGCGATCCATTTTTATATATAAGATTATTTAAAAAGTTGATCGATTCTCAAAATAAAACAATTGAAAAAAGTTATTCATGTACTCTTATGTGAAAACAGCATGCCGCAACCACGTATGTTACATTTTTTTCCGTACGACAAACACGTATCTCAAAGAATTGAAGAAAAAATAATAAACAATTGTTACAAGATTGAGTATTTTTAAAATTTATAAAAAAATTGTAAAATAAGAGTTTGTTGGTTTCTGTTTAAATAGTATAAGTTTAATGAAATTTTTGAAGTATAAAACTATAGTGTCAGCCCCTAATTACCTTAGTTCTTGAGCAACACCCGCCAGCTATGTCATTTTCCTAGTGTAGGAGGGTCACATATACGACTGTTTTTGAAGCGAATAAACGAAATATTTAATTATATATGAATTCAGGGCGTATAATGACAATCCAAAATCACAATATTTAATAAATTTTCATCATAATATTGAATAAATGTGCCGATATCCAGTGTCAATATATGAGATGGAAGATGAACTGTCGTTAACCTCTTACATTTTTGTATCATTATATGATTCAATATGCTATTACCAAATGAATAAATCTGTATAAGATGGTTTAATCTAAAATGTCAATAAAAAACGTTAATTCCAATTGCAATCTTGATATAAGGTACAAAACACGAACAACAGCCGGACAGTAGTGGAATATAATTCTACATATTATCTAAAAAATATCCAATTTGAATTGTCGTTTTTTAAATTTTTTTTTTTTTATTTATTTCTTATAACCAATCTGAACCTTGGGTTCAATGAGGTTATTTGCTAACGGGTACAGGGTTTTTAGAAATTCCCCCAGTGGGGAATTTCCTTACATAAATATATTGATAGTTAATTCATTAAATCTTGCGGCCACTTTCTTTTTAATCTTCTCGTTGGTACTTGTTTCAGTAGATCTATTATTAGAGTGTTTGGATGGTATGCGCTCTTTTGATGATATTTCGTACTTCTCTCCTTGATAACTTCCTGAATATATTTGATGTTTAGGTCTCGATGAATTGTTTCATTGGAGACATACCAGGGCGCGTTCACTATAGCTCGTAATATTTTTGACTGTGCTCTTTGTATTGTTTTTATATTGGACGTGCTCGCACATGCCCATAGCTCAATACCGTACGTCCATATTGGTACAATTACGGCTTTATATATTAGAATCTTGTTCTCATATGACATCTTGGATCTTCTTCCAATTAACCAGTAAAGTTCGCGAAATTTCTTGTCTATTTGCTTACGCTTTGTCTTGATGTGGGTGCTCCATGTGAGCCCTCTGTCGAGGTGAAGTCCTAAGTATTTTACAGAGTTGCTTTTTGGAATTTCAACATTGTTGATTTTTATATTTGGGCAATCTCCTTTTCTTTTGGTAAAGGTGATGTGGGCTGACTTAGTTGAGTTAATAGTGATTTTCCATTTGTGAGTCCACTCCTCTAATTTGTGTATATAATTTTGCAGCTGTTCCGAGGCTTTTGTGGCGTCTTCATGTGATGATAAAACCATGGTGTCATCTGCGAATGTTCCAAGGGTTATTTTGGGGTCGGTTGGAATGTCGTTAGTGTAGATTAGGTACAGGATTGGTCCGAGTACACTACCCTGAGGTACACCAGCTTTTATTGATTCTGTATCAGATGATTCGTTCTGCACTCTGACTCTAAAATATTGTTACGAATGTGTGGGTGAGGACCCACACACGGATGTAAAATAACACATTACTACCCCTCTCCCTATGCGTGTAAACCATGTCCCTGATGAGGAATGTGTCCGCAGGCTGAGGGTGGTTGTCTGCATTTAACAGTCAAAGGAGTCGGTCGTAGGCCCTCAGGGGTGTCGGGTCGAAAGATACCGTTCTTAAGTATAAGTCGAAGGGATGAGCGCGGTGCAGTGCGCGCAATGTTTTATCAAATTAATGTTGGTGATAATGTAAGTTAAAATAATGTCATGGGGGGCAGCGTATCGGAAGCTGCCCCAAACCGAATATAGACTTTGTGAAATTATAAGATGTGATTTAAGTGAATAATGTGAATCGGGCCCGATGTATGGACATGTGATGGACACTGGTTGCGCCGTGGTTAAAGATAAGTCTAGAATAGGTTGCATGTTAGAATAAGAAATGTTTTAGATTAAGGGATCGTTATGTTTAAATATAGGTTTGTTAATTAAGTAACGAACAAACGCTTTTTCATTAGTAGTTTTAAAGTAATCAGTTTCTTACAGGATCGCGACGTCACGGTAAGGGTGTAGAAAGACCGCGAATGTAACAACAATAGTAAATTAGGGCATGAATCAAGGGTAGTAAATAATAAATAAAAGGGTTTCACAATAAATAAAAAGGGATTCGTGACAAAATGGTGGAAGCGCCGGGTATGCTTTTCGTTGGTTTAACGATCAAATGATTAAAAAGTATTAATTTGTTTTGGTAATCATTTGATCCACCATCGACGGCATTATTACGATCTCGGTAAAACAATTTTATTGTTGGTTCATTCGCGGTTATTTTTCCTTGCGTGTAAGTTTACAGTTTCCTCGTTTTATTTTTTTTTGTTATTTTGTTATTGATCAATTTCGGGTTTCGATTTGTTTTTTCGCGAAGATTCGGCATTTCTTGATTACGCATTATTATTAAATTGGTATTTATGAAATTTGTTGAACTCTTGGTTATCATAGTTGAGTGTACAGAAGATTGTTGGAACACTTAAAATTATGAAAACATAGTGCAATTTGAAATAATGTTTAGCGGTATATATAAATTGAAATGTTGTTGTGTGATCAAAGGGGTTTTCTATGTATGTTGGGGTTAATGTAAACGTAATTTGCGAAATTGGTTGGCGCAAAAACGAATAATCAAGTAGTTCAAGTAATTGTTAGAATTTTGATTTGTGAATTTTGAAAATCTATTTAATTTGTAAAATTTAAAGGTTGTTTTATAATAATTTTGAAATGCTGAATCTATTTATTGTATTTGTATTTTTGTTCGTTAATGTTTCTTTTTGTTCAGTCGCGCGGTTTGTTTTATTTCGATTTTTTGGGAAAGGCTTTTGTTCGTGTACTATTAGATACGTGTTTCCTAGGTTAATTATAATTACCATCATTTTAAATTAAGATTATTAGAATATAAATTTTAAATTCGAAATTATTATAATTAGTGTATAGAAAAATATTGTTCTATACAGATTTAGAATTTTTGTTTATTACGAACATTATTGAAATTGTTTAGTGTATTGTGTTATTCATAATCATTTTCGTAAACACCAATACATAAAATAATTTGTTTTTTTTTTTTATATAAAATTTATGATGATTGCCAGATACATTAAGTTATGTTATACAGTTAAGTGTTGTTTCATGGAAATCGTTCTTGTGAGTAGAGTTTATTTTTTTTTTGTATATATAGTCGTAAATATTTTAAAGAAAGTTATTTTAAAATATCATATTGCAAGGGTAAGATATCGTTGAAGTCCTTTTCTCTTAGAATTCGATTTCAAATCATAGACATTTAAGTAACGCAGCAAGATAATATTTATGTCCTTTTTTTTGTGTAAACATTTCATCCCTACGTTTTTAAGGCGCCACAACGCGTGGGGCAAGTATATGTGAGGTCGAAAATGCCCAGACATCGTTCTCGTGTTGCGAACTTATGGTCCCTAACGTATGTCAACGCCAGGCTAAAAGCTTTTTTTTTTTGGTTTAAGTACTAGATTTTTGAGTTGCGTAGATAGTTTTAAGTGTAGTGTAAAAAAATATTTTAAAATTAGGGAAGATGTCTTTGTATATATATATGTTTTTTTTGTTGAGTCAGGGGTTTACAATAATTTTCGAATACATGTGGCTGTTTGTAAAATACGAGCGAATTTCTTTTTCAGTTTAGTTTTGTTTGCGCTATTGCGTTAGAGTATTTTTATTATGATTTGTTTTATCTCAAAATTTAGAGCAGTTTTGAGAATTGCGGAGTTATTCGCCTCCGTGCATATGAGGTGCCGAATATTTGTTTGGGAATGCGTCGAAAACAACGGCTTACAGGGATTTGAATTGTGGCAAATTTTTGTTAGGTCGATCACCACCGCCTGGATAGCTTGTATATAATTCAGTGCGAAAGCTCTTGGTGACACCGATTTTCGATATGCATTTGAATTGATCAGGATGTCTTTGGTGATTTTCAATTAGAGCGGACTTAGTCACCCCGATCTAATTGTAATCAGTCGAGCCCACTGGCATCAAGGTCGATACGGCTCATACTGCCAATAGTGAAATGGGATTAGAAATTTGATTTTTACATTTGATAGTTTTTTTTATATGGTTGTTACTGTTAAAAAATATTTTGATGCTGTTTTTATTATTAATTTTTTTTTTTTTGAATTATTGTTGAATTGTTTGTGTTTAGTACTTAATGATTGATATTTAGTTTTCGCGGTAGAAAAGATGGATAGATAAAGGAAACGTCGAATAAATTTTATTGTCTTCAGATTAAAAATCATAGGTTTCTCGTCCCATTCATTAAACCGGTTAAGTTATTTTGCAATTATTCCATTAGCGCAACAAGACGGCAGTCACATGTTTAGTCAAATTTAGATAAGGTAGATAGGAATAAAGGATTAAGGATAATAATAATGTGGTAGGATCATAGTAATTATAAGATAATAGACACGTAGTAAAATTTAGTTAGATAAATTTGCAAACGGGTACGGTCTAGTTGAGACGGAACTGTTAGAGATGCGTAAAAAGGGGCGTGTACAACACGTAAGGGAGGACGAATGCAATGCGACAAAGGGACAAATAGAAAAGCAAGTAGGTCTAGATGGAGGTATAAGAAATGCAAAAAGCCTAATAAGCGAAAAGGAAGAATGCATAAGTCGCTAGGATTTACGAAAGAGATAGGTTGCAAAAGTAAAAGTGAAGCGAGAAGAAAAAACTAAAATGGCGAGTTACCGTATAACACATAGGTAAAATTGTTAGATCATTTAATATTTTTTTTTTTTTTTTAGTTCAATGCGTGATTCGGTTTGCAAATATTTTATAAATTCAGTAAGATTATTTTTGATACAATTGTTATTTATTTTACCCGTTGTTTCTTTGTTGTTTTTACGAGATTTAAGAATAGTGTTAAGAATAGTAATTAGGTGGAATATAAAGATCGAAAATTAAAAATAAATGCATAGGTAGCAAATCTTATAAGCGAGATGGTTTACAAAATAGAGATAAAAAAAATGAGTTACAGAATAGCTCATAGTTTAAGTACTATTGAATAATTTGATAATTTGCATATTGCTATAATTTTAAATAACAATGCGTATGAGTTTATTTTGTTGTTGTTGTTTTTATTAATTATCGTGTCTATTTATTACAACAGTTTCTCTTCGATTAAGTACAGTCATTTAGAAAAAAAAAATAACATTTATAAATTGGTTTTTGCAATGCAGGCGCGATCAGACGAATTATATTAAGAATATATTGTTGTTAGAGATTGGAAAATGCAGTTTTATAAATAGAAAATTAATAATTTAGATTTTAGATCATAGTGTCATAAAAGAAGTATGCTTAAAATGAAGAAAAAGAGAAGAAAATTACGAATAGGATTTTGAGTAAAGAATGTTATGAATAATTAGAAGATAGAGACAGAATAGGGCGGTTTAACAGCAAGTGCAGAGGCGTTGGTTTGTACTTTGGTGTTTCTTTTCCATCACTCAGAGAGCACTGGGCGATACTTTATAACCGTTGAGAATAATGTTGGGATAAAATGATATTGGGAAAAAAGATGTTGAGAAAAAAAAAAGATGTCCTTGTGAGGGATTCGGGGAAATAATTCGCGTATGAAGGAATACGACGCGAAAAGAGAAAATTAGGGGTTAATAGATGATTATTAACATGAATAGATAAATATTTTGATTTGATTGCGAAAGTGGTTGTTTAGTTCAGTCGGGAATTGAGAAATAGTGTGTGGGTATGCATATTTTTATGAATGTCAGCTGGCCAGCTAAGTATAAGAGATAAGTGTATTTTGATTTTTCCCTCGTTTTAAATGAAAATGTTTTAGGTTTTAATGCAAGATTTGAGTGAATATAAATTTTAAATTGATTGTTGTTTTGTGTTTGATATAATGTATGTGGGTTATACTAGGGGTGTTTAGAAAAAGTAAATTGAGAATAGAATTGGGTTTTGCGATTTTTGGGAAAATTTGGGATTTTACGGTTTTGGGGAAAGATCGCCCGGGCTGGTGTTTTGTTGTTGTTATGGATTATTGATTATGAATTTGATTTTGATCTCACAGCATGGGGATATGGATTTGGGCTGTGGGAGCACCCCCAGCGAGGGTTCTGGTGCTCTGAGTGAGACCGTTGGAGCGTGATACATCACATACAAGCTGATTGCTATCACGCTATCCATTTGGAAGCTTTGGTTGTTGATTATGTTATATGTATTTTAGTGAAATTTTGTGGATTTCACGCTAGAGCCGGTACTTTTTACCACAATGTACTGCCGCTAATGTGAGGTTTTTGAGCAGATAT